AACAAGTGTCAAGATATAGATTCTCAAGATTACCATCTTGAAATCTAAAATGCAATAACAACTAAATATAACAATTTAGTACAATTAGAATTTCAAATATCACACATCAAGACATAGATTCTCTAAGTTATCAACTTGAAATCTAAAAGTGTGAAAACAACTAAATATAACAATTTAGTATGGATGTACTTAACAACATCAACCGCCAATAGCCAAAACCACAGGTCACAATTAAACATGATTGTCAACTTGGAATTAAATGCGAAATCAAATAGTGGAAGACTTGGACATCACGTTTCGGATTTCCGTTGAGAACTAAATGGTTATTCCGGGCATTAACCCGCTGGGAAAACCACCTTAGTGCGCACTATCTCAATTGGGGAGAACTCATACCTCCCGCACTAGAGCCAAACTCTAGCCATGTCACTTGTAACAATGTCCCAAGACTCCAAAATAATCAAATAAGTTCACAACTTATACGTAATTTATATAATGCACGAAAACCACCTTCCATGCACAAGTAGGTTGAAACCACACAATCCATGCCTTAGAGTTTCAATTCTAAAATGGCATATATAATGTCAATTACAAAGTGTGCAATTCATTTCACATGGCATCAATATATTCCATAAAGAAAACATGTTCTCATGAATATAAATATAACAACAAAGTTGTCCAACGTTCAAAACACAACAAAGTGAATACATAACAAGTTCAAGTCCATGATTCGAATATAGAAACTACTTCTAAAATACCAATAGATCCATGGAGCCACATTAGATAGAATTTAATTAAACAAGATAATCAAATTCTCTAGATTTCAAATCAAATTCGAATAACCTCAAATTAATATATGTTAAACAACATAGCATGCTCATTACATATATCAAATCAAAAGTGTCAAATGAGCAAGATAGCATCATATAGAATTTAATTAATTTAAATTAATCAAATCTCTAGATTTCAAAAGTTATTCAAATGATCCCTAATTAATATATATCAAGCACCAAATCATGTTCATACCATATCTCAAGTCTAAAATGGAATATAAGTAAAATACAATTTACTAGAATTTAAATCAAATTAGATCCATTTAATCTCTAGATTTGAAAATTCATCTAAATCATCCTAAATTAATATATATCAAAGATTAACTCATGGCCATGCCATTTACCAAGTCTAAAATGAGTTATATGCAAGATATAATAAATCACTAATTTCTCAAATTAATAAAAGACATGCATACAACTTATAAAAGCATCAATAGCATGCAAGAAACAAAAATATAACCCTATAACATCCCCTACCTCACTAGAGAAGGGTCTCTCTAGAATCCAAGGCAAATCAACACAAAATGGCAAACCCTTATAGGGTTATGTATAGGAGGATGAGGGGAACAAAAAGTGTTCCAAGCTTCAAGGTCTAAGGTGAGTGAAAGGCCATCAAAAATCAAGGTCAAGGCCTAAGGTTTCAAGCTCCATCCATGGAGGCTAGGGTTTTCTTTACAAGAGAGGGAAGAGATAGAAATTAAGTGTGAAAGAATGTGAGTGGAGGAAATAGAAATCCTCCACTCACTATGTGGTCTTACACCAAGGTCAACACACACAAGTGTTGGTCAATTGCACAAAACCCCTCTTAACAACATAATTCCAAAGTGGCCCAAAAATTAATTGCAAGACTTAATTTGGAGCATACACTTGTCACTCATCCAAGGCTCCATCCTAGGCTTAATCTCAAGCCTACACTTGTCAACCATCCAAGCCAACAAATGCACCAATCCTAAGCCAACAAGTGGTTGAATCTCCACCCTCCACATGTCATCATCGAAGGTATCAAAGTGTTTCCACACAAATGTCAACAAGTGCACCAATGAGAGTGTGACACTTGTCACACTTTTTGGAAATTGCAAAAAGGTCCTTTTTGAAAATATCTTTCAAATTAAATTGCAAAATGGTCCCTAAGACGAAAAATAATTACTTTACAGTAATTACACAAATGACCCCAAAAGAAAGAGAAATTACAAAGAAGTGTGCATCCACATCCTTATGGAAGAAAGACCACAACTAGCATGCTTTTCTACAAAAGTAAAAATACACATAGCATGGAATTTAAATATCATGGATGCATGCAAAACCGGAATCAAATCTGAACACGAAAAATGAGGTTATTCCAACAAAGTGACAACCGAGAAAAAGACGAAAAGTGAATAGTGTCACAAAAGTGAAAACGTGAAAATGACTCGGTCCTTAAAGGAAGTCGTCAATCCAAGGAAAAAAGTCTCGAAAACCATCCCCGAGCACTCAAGATGATGTTAAGTGGCAAGGAACCGAACTCAGAAAGGAAAAGATCAACGAAAAAAAAAATATCCGTGAAAATTTGAGAAAGGGAAAGGAATGAAAATAACCGGGTCATTACACCAACACTTAGCTTCGATCGATCGAAGCTGACGTGGCTTGAAAATATCTTCTTTGGCCTTATCCAAATTGCAGAGCTGGCACCGCCTCATTTCGATCGATTGTAAACATCTTCGATCGATCGGGATTCCTTTCGATGGATAGAAGCTCCTCTGGTGCATTTTCTTGGTTTCTTTCCAACTTTACTCCTTAGCATCAAAATTGAGCCAAATGGCTTTTGTTAGCCTGTTTGAACTTTCTTGACCTAAAATAGGCAAAAACACAAATAAGTATCTAAGACATGAAAGTGAGATAGATGAATGGACTAAAATACCATATCTTAGGTGCTAAAATGCGTCACATTTGAGCACTCATCACACCCCCAAACTTAGATATTGCTAGTCCCTAGCAATGGACTATAAGGAAAATAAGGAAATAGGAACTAAGCAACTATGAACTAAAAAGTAATAAAAAGATAACGCCACTTTCGTAGGGAACACGATTGCATTTAGCGTATGCAACAAGCCTTTTAAACTCCTAGGTTACCCCTAGTGGACGAGTGAAGTCTCGTGAAGGTTTCCAGAAATGATACCCACAAACATGGAGCTCTTTCTCATAAGAGAGGCACTAATATACAAAAACAAGTATAGGGAGAAAACTACCTCAAGTATGCAATTTTTCAACCCTTTCCAAGCAATCTCCCAAAATCTTAACATCAAGCAAACAAGTATGGTCCTCCACACATCAAGACAATGATCATGCAAGTAAAAAAAACTCTAGAATCCTTTTTAAGTCAATCGGCATTAAATATATTGCTATCTAAGCCAACTAAAGAAATAATCACATCCTTACCATCAAACTAGCACACAAATCTAGTATCGATCATCAAGACAAAGAGTGGACCTTTTATTAAAGCTTTATTCATCTAGGTGCGCTTATTTTTTTCACTCAATTTTTTTTTAATTATTTTTTTAATCCTAAGGATCAAAGATGGAAGCATAGTGCAATGTGTTGATCTATTAAGCTTTCTAGCGATCCATGAGGTCGAGCGTTAGGTCAAGGACTCCCAAACATGATGGCTTTAGGGCATTAGGTGTTTAAACACCCCTAAGGACTTACAAGCTCAAATCGACTAGGCTACAAATCAAAACAACCTCCATCTAATCATTTCCCACTTCTCACCTTTTTGGAGAAGTCCTCACTTTTTTTTTTTTATTATTTTCTTTTGCAACAACTTTTTTTTTTTATTTAGAAAGTTCAATTATTAACTTAGAGTCTGGGCCCTCCACCTTTCGGCACAAGAAATTCAGTGCTTGATGCGGCTAGAATCTCAGCTACCAATGAAAAGGGTTTGTTATCTACCTTTATTAAGAATGAAAGCTTTCAATGCACTACTAGCTCAATTGGGATATAACCAAATCAATAATCAACAAAGCATGTACCCTACAAATGAATGCTAGTGTGCGCCTGTGCTAGTGTAGAATCCTAGAGTGAATCTCAAAACAATAACAAGATCAAGATGATGTGGACCACAAATGCAAGCAAGATATCAATTTTTAAAAAAATTTACTCCTAAATGGCATCCACATGGTAAATAAGGAGTATTAGACTCTCAAGCCAAGCAATTTTTAAATTCTAAGTATCATGGTCCTCAAAAGATCAAAATCATAGCCCAAGACTCTCAAATCATACCACATACATAGAAAGTAAGTGCGACATGTAAAGTATGCAAATACACCCTCAAACTTAATCTGTGCATTGTTCTCAATATGCAAAGAAGCAATAGATAATGGAAAGAGTATACCAAATGGGTGAAGCAAAAGGGACCCGGCAATGGAAGCTTTGCATTAGAAGGCGCACCACCAAACTTAGATTTCGAAAACCTGTCTAAAAATCACTACAAGAAATGTAGGCTTTTACGACATAGTATTTACGGGGCTTCTTTATTTTGCCTCGTGATTACCACCATTTACGGAGTTTTTGAAAGAATCCTCGTTATAGGACATGCTTTCACGACGTTTTAGTAAAATCCTCGTAGAAAAATATTTTTACGGTGTATTAAAGAGCTCGTGAATATTTAGATATATTTACGGCATATTTGTACACCTGTAATGGGATAAATGTTCCTCGTTGATAAAACACTCATTTAAGGCCTTTTTTTTTTCCCGTAAATAAGCAATTCACCTTGCCCGCCATTTTTTATACTCACAATTAATAAAATTAGTTAAAAAATATATATATAAATGAACTTAAGTTTTTTTACGGTGTATTAAAAAGCCCGTGAATAAATTTCACATTTAAGGCGCCTTTTTTGCACCGTAGATAAGTAATACTATTTTCCAAATAAAAATTTTCCCCTTTCGTGCCGTTGGTGGGAAATTTAGAGTCATTTTTTTTTAAGGCGCCTTTTTTATCCCGTAGATAAGCAATACTATTTTTAGGCAAAAAAATTCCCCCCTCCGTTCCTCTGGCGGGAAACTTAGCGCCAGATAAATGATTTTTTAAATAGAAAACATAATAAAAAATTAGTCTCACCTTATAAAACGACGTAGTTTTGTCAATAGGCGTAATATCGTGTGTCCAACGGGACTACATAACTCTGCTCTCTCTCTCGCGTCTAAGCCCTAGACTTCTCTCTCTGCTCTCTCTCTCTCGCGTCGAAGCCCGCCTTCTCTCTCTGCTCTCTCTCTATCACGTCTAAGCCCTAGCTTTCTCTCTCTGCTCTCTCTCTATCACGTCGAAGCCCTAGCTTTCTCTCTCTGCTCTCTCTCTTTAGATGAAAAAGATGCGGACAAGATGATGTTATAGATTCGATATAGTCTCCCTATTCGAGTTATCTCTCTGGTTCGCCTCTTTGTTCGAGTTATCTCTCTGGTTCGCCTCTTTGTTCGAGTTCTCTCTCTGGTTTGGACACGAGAAACAACCATTTGGAGCCACAGTTTCTTCGAATTTTAGACGGCTATACACATCAATTTGGAGCAAAAAATTAAGGTTCGTCTATCTCTTTCTATATATGTATCTATTAGTTTTAATTTTTTGACTAAGAGTGTTTTATTTAATTTAATTTTTTCTTTTTGGATTTTTCTGTAGTTTTTATTTTTTATTTTTTATTTTTTTTATGCAAATACATATTATAGGGTTTCAAAATTGCAAGGGAAATTGCAGATTTGGAAGAACTTAGAAACGTATCTCTGTTGTCTGATAATTATTATCAGCAAGACCTTTCAAACTATTCTTCAAATGTCACACAACGTTGGGACATTGGTACTGCTATTGCACGCTCTAGCTTTCGTGTTATGGCCAGCATGAATCTATCCACAGGTATCATCCAATTATGTACATAAGAACCTAGCTGAATTGATTCTTCGAACCATTTTATTATTTAATTTGTGTCTCAATTAATTTGCAGAATTTCAAATCTATGGCAAACCCTGGGAGGTCTACAACAACCATAGTCAGCTCTAATATGGTACATGAACGTACTCTAATATATATATGTATATTTAGTTCTTTTGAAGTTCCTTCAGATTGAAATTAATCTCTGAATAATTAAAAGTTTTTATTATCTTCCCATGCTTATTATGGTTTCAGATCACCCATCAACTGCTGAGCAGTTGAAATGATCATGGGGAAGATATATGTATGTTTCTCTATTATTTATGTTTGTTAATTAATTTGTGCCTGAGTTTTATTTTTCTTCTTCTTTTTGGATACAATATATTTCTTACTACTTTGGTTTCTGCTATTAGTACTACTTTCATTTTGCTTTAAAAGAAAATTCAACAATGAGACTTCTAAAAATATCTTTTAATTTTTAGGAGTTTGGAAAATAAATTAATTTTTGTTAGTACACTTACCTAAACATTAGAAAAACGAATTTGATGGTAGCAATTGAGACTTGGCATAATAACCAGGATGATGAATATTACTACAGATAGCCAAGCATGATTTATCCAGGACAATGTAATCAAAATAACATATTTTGAGAACAAAAGAAATTATGAGGACCTTTATTCTCAGTATATTTAAACCTAGTGTTACTGGTAGTACTAATGTGTAAAGAGCACATCAAAAGGATATGAGGTAATATCCATGACTACATATAACCATATGATCACTCTCTATATATCTCTTTAACATGGATTTTAGGTTGATTTGTAAATCAACCTAATTTACACGGCATCTAGGTGAATATTTAGATCATAGATTGTTTCTAAAACATTTATATCTCATTGTATAAGTAACAAGAGTTCCAGAAACAACTTTTTTGAGATAAAATTATGACACCGCATTGGATGAAAATATATAATAGTATTAGGGTTCACTATAAAGGAGAAATGGGAATGGTATATTACTGAGTGTTCTTCCTTTACAACCTTATATACTTGTTGAATGTTATGGATATGAATCTTAAAAAAATTCATTTGATAAAAGAAGAAATGAAGTTAAATGAGGTTGATTTGAGTGAATGCATGTGACATTCAATTTTGCATTATTGCGAGTATGATCTCAATTAATCGAAGATGTTGGGAGGAAAATGTTACTAGGTTACAAATGACACTCCCTATTTATAGACATCGAACAAGGATCCCCTCCAAGAAAGAAGAGGTCCTTGTTGGTGGGTGTGCAGAACCTCTCATTTCTTGAAGAGGATCCTTATCCATAGACATCCTCCCTACCTTCTCAAATCCATCCGGTACTTCATAACTCCACATCAATCTGGAATATTCTATAACTTCAGTCACGTCATTCCGCCGGTCTAAGACATGGTAGATTCTCCATGCAACTTGACTAAGCGTGACACCATGCTTACAAAAATATGAATAAAAAAATGCAACCCAATGAGTGCTCAGGCACACGACAATGGCCAGGATTTATCAAGATAAAGAATATGGGGATTTATGAGTTAATATCTTAAGCAAAGAGTTTAAAGCTTAATATATATTTATGAGAATCAACTAGGAGTTAATTCTTTGGGCTCACTATAAAATTTTGGTAAAAAAAATAAAATAAAGGAAAAATAAAATTTGGGATTCTGCTATTGTTTGGGGTATAATAATATAAGGAAATAAATCTTTTAAAATATGATAATATAAGAAAATATTTTTTTTTTTGGGATTCTGATATTGTTTGGGATCTAGTAATTATAAGGAAATAAAATTTTTAAGAAAGTAACAATATATAAAGAATATATATATATATATATATATATATATATATATATTTGGATTATTGGTTTAGGGGACTAAGCCTTGATAATATCTGTTAAGTCCCCAATCAAGAGTGAATGTTATAATGATAACTCTGATATAGATTGAGAACAATTATTTAATAATCTCGATCATTTTATAAGCGGATGTTGAGAGAGAGAAAAATCTAAAATGTATCTTAGTCCTTTGCCATACTAATTGATATTAAAAGTTTTAATTAGCACAGATGTCTAATGTTATTTATCTAAAATGTATCTTAGTCCTTTGCCATGCTAATTGATATTAAAAGTTTTAATTATCACAGATGTCTAATGTTATTTATCTAAAATGTATCTTAGTCTTTTGCCATGCTAATTGATATTAAAAGTTTTAATTAGCACAGTAGTCTAATGTTATTTCCCTGAAATTTTCAGATCTTATTTTTCCAAGGTGCATAAGAATATGCAAGTTTCAGAAAGAACTAAATTTATAAATTAAGGGACTGTTAAGGTTCTCTTACCAGAAGCTAGTTATTCTGTTATATAACTTCATATATATTGCTTATATATGCTTGTTCTATGGTTATCTTTTTTCATTTGCATAAGAATAAGTTCCTGCCTCTCATAAATTAAATAGCTGATGATTCTTGTCTTCAATAGTGATCATCTAATAGCTTGTCATCTTTGACTAAAGAGTTGTACAGCAGCTAGCTAGCTAACTTCAAATCCGGATGTGAAAGATATTGGGTACATATAGCGGATATGCAACACTACCCAACAACTTAGGCTTTTGATTCAGAATGTAAGGGCCCGACTTGTTACACATATATAGTACTACATTGAGCTACATAACCTAAGTTTTGATCTTAGATTGTGGTTAAAGTAGTTTTTCTTTTCCTTTTGTGGTGTTAATTTATTTTTAGGTCAAGAAAATACTTGTTTCGTGATGAAATAGCCACCTTAAATCATTGTGCTAGCTAGCTGCTCCCACATAAAATAGTTTAGTATGTTTTGACTCCTAATAAGTGTGTACTCCATGATTGAGACCTTGAAAATGCAAGATCTTTTTATCATCTGCTTCCATAGTAGTAGAAAGATTTTGATTTTGAAGTATTTATTACATTAGGCTTTCTTTTGTAATTATTGTTACCATGCATATATATAAGCTAGCCTCGAGTACTGCATATGTGCGTAAGCATTTGGATGATTTTATATGATGCTTGAATTTTCAAAGAGCTCGAGTCAACATCCATCGGAAAAAATCTAGTGTAAATCTTTTATACGATGCTTGAATTTTCAAAGAGCTGGAGTCAACATCCATTGGAAAAAATCTAGTGTGAATCTGCATCAAAGAGGTAAATCACATAAGGTAGGAGGATACAGGAAGTTTGTTGAATGAGTAGATAGTTAAGTTGTCTGAGGCAAGTCCAGTTATATTTATATTGAATACTCGATGCCCTCAATAATGATGATCGAGCTACTTAATTATAGAAACAGAGCTCCAGTTTGGAGCGTGATGAGTTCGTGTTTTGGTGAATGAAATGATTATATATAGAAGAATTTGAATAGCGCGCTGTATATGTATAGACACACTACAAGAAAAATGATTATTTACAACGAGGTATTTACAATATGCAAAATTACACCTTGTTAAAAGGAAATTTTATAACATGCTTGTTGTCAAATTGAAAACATGCAACGTTTTGAGCATGTTGTGAATGTAATTTGAAAATTTTTAGCACTAATTTTAATTCAATTTCCCACGCACACATGTCTATTGCCTGTGTAATTCCCGCTGATATTTTCACTACTTAGTTTGACAAAAAAATAAAAATAAATGAAAAATATAAATTCAGTATATAACCACACACCCAAAACACGCACACTGATAGTCGACGGATCGAAGCCCTAACCAGTACTGAAAATGTGTTTCTGTCTTTCCATCTAGCCATATCGTCTCTCTCCCTAAAGCTTTTGTAGTTGGACATCGAAGAAAACCCTAACCACTAATGGTAACATGGCTCAAAGAAGAAACCCTAGGTCTGGAATCCTCCTTTGGAGATGCGAAGGTGTGCTAGGCGATTTGCGGATGGATGTTGCTGCTAGGTTTGTTT